TGCTACTCCTACTACTCCTACTCCTGTATCCCGACTACTGCCCATACTCCTACTCCTGTGCCTACCACAAGTAGCTGCAGGCTTTTTGTTCTAGGCTGTGATGACGAAGAGAACAGATCCTGGAATTTTCCGCTTGGAGAACTGTCCCAACAGACAGGGCCCTGCCTCGTCCCGATGCAGCTGGCCTTCAGCTGTTGAATCTGAAAAGTGGGGTTTGGTTTGTGTGAAGAGAGGCGAAGCTGACACGCGAATCGAAAGAGCCTGCATGATCCGAAATCGCAGCAGCTTTCCGCTTGAATAGGCCGCACTTTGAATGCTCCCAGGTCCCTAGCGGCAACGGTTCTCGAACTCTTCGCGCTGCGCAGGATTGGCGGAAGGCTGCGCTCCCGGCATCAGCTCCTCAGGGGTCCAAGGGCGACCCCCAAGATCGGACCCTTTTTGTACTTCGGCGCTCCGGCAGGTCGAAGAGGTTGACAAAAGGCGCCCGGCTCCGTTGCGAGGCCTCAAACATTTAGTGTTGTGTTGTGTCCTCTTGCGTTGCATTGTGTTGTGTTGGGTTGCGCTGTGCAGGGGATTGGATGTGCGTGCATGTACGCATTCTGCCTGTGTCCAGTGCATGGGTGTCCAGTCCTGCTTCGAAGGGATGGGCTCATGCACTGCATCGCTCTAAGTTAGCACTTGCGGGTATGGCTCTCTGGTGCTGCTGCAAGCGAGGAAGCTACGCATCAGAAAGAAAAGCAATCATAAATCGCACCTGCAAGTTTGGAGTTTGTCTTCCCGGGATGAACTGGTAGGGGGCTCAGCCAAGAACCCCGATAGTTTTAAGTTGGTGTTCCGAAAGGAAGTTCGATGCCATGTACCGGTCGACTTGATCTCAACTGTGCCTCTGTGTACTAAGATGTATACGCACGACTGTCTGCCTCTCTCTGTGTTTGTGTTGTGGGTTAGTATTATGGTACAGAGGTGCGCGTCGCCTCCCAAAGCAATTTCTGAAGGCTTAGAAGACTGAGTCTGATGACCGGCGCAGCCTTCGTCGCTGAAGCAGCCGCCATATTGATCAAGAGGCTTGGAAGCCTGAGCGACCACGAAGGAAAATGCTGAAATGAAAAACACCGATAAATGGCTATCCATGAAACGGCCTCTTGCGCATAATGCTGCGGAAATGTGAGATGCGCCTATCATTTTCTTCGACGACGATTGATGCTGTAGTGCTGCATGCTGACACAGTGAAGCCAATCTTCAAAAGGCTTCGGGATAGTCAAGGCCCTGGGTTTAGGGTGAATGGTGCTAAGCTTTCTCACTCAGTGAGCTACTGGTAGGGTACAAGGGGATATAAGCTCATGCAAAACATCACAACGTCAAACCCTTCTTCCATGAAAACTTGGTTGTTCCGGCAGCTGTGGTGCTCCGCGACACTACATGAAAACTGGGGGCCTGGCGGTCTCAGTGTAGGAACTGTGAGACAGAATTAGATGGTCCAAACGAGATCTCTGGCCAATGCAATGTCTGTAGCAAGAAACTAAGAATCAGGTTAAGGCTCGGGGCGACCACTCGATGAGATCTCGCAGGGCCCGGCGCAGTTCTGCGCCAAAATACTAGGCTTTTGGCTGAGTAGAACCGGCGGGCGCGTGCGCTTACGTGACCAAGCATCCAACATCAAGGGGCATTTCAGACAAGCACCCCCAAGGCAATCTAGAAGAGCTTCAAGCCCTGGATGCGGATTGAAGACTGACTTTGTATTCACTGCTCCGAAACCTTTGTTGGTATCAGTGTCGTCTGACAACAAGGGGCTCATGCAGGGCCTTGCCTCAGAGTCTGACCGCTTCACCGCATCAATGAGCTTCTGCCCGTCCTGTCACCAAAGATCCCTCAGGCGGCTGAAGGCCAGACTGCAGAAGAGAAGATGCCTGATTCTCGATGGAAGCTTCTCAAGGAATGCCGGAGGCTGACGTCAGGATGAGAAACCGCCGCTTTGACCAGGTCGTCCGAAGCTTGATCCAAGCACTGGAGGTACTCTGCTGCTGCTAGGCCAATGCATCTTTTTTCCGATATGTGTGCACTTGCACATTTGGTTGTCGGCATCAGAAGGCAAGAAGCTAGTAAGACTGTGGTTTTGGGTGCAGCTCTGTTAGCCGCAGCCCTAGCAAACCTCAAAGGGTCCTGCAGAAGGCATAGGTTCAGGCTTTGGAACCTTTCCCGGAGGGACAAAGGCCACGAGAAGCCGTGCCTTCAGTCCAAGAGTCTAAGAGTCGCTGACCCGGAGTTCGAATTCCTGTCCGAATCGGAGCAGTTTAAGAAAAGTCTCTTGAAGAATCGGAGCAGTGTTTGGAGATCTAACCCGCGGCCGGAAGCGAGATGGCATTGCGATTTTGCACACAGAAAGAGGGACAGGGAGGGAGAGCATATATAATTTATAAACATATGTATATACACACCAGACTTACGTTCGTTCCTTCACTCATTCGTTCGATTCATGACATACCGATGCGTGTAGCATACATACACTAAGGCAGGGCATACACACACACACAAGCAAGCATACAAACGCGGGCGCGTGCTCAAGCTTCCCCGCAGCAAACGATCTTGGAAGATCCTGGCAGATCCTACGGTGGCATGAGGATGTACATCAATAGACTGCCCTCAGCGCTCAAGCGCCGGGCCCAACCCTCACAGCTCACAGAACCTAAGGCGGGCTGGGCCGGGCTGGGTGGAGATGGCAACGATGCAAACTGCAAGGAAGCTGGAAGCACCAAGCACCAACGTCTCAGGGCGGCTAAGAGGGCAACTGCTGAACACTGCCGTGGTTGACAAGCCGGGCCCCTGACTACACCTCTCCTACGTCCAGCAATGGAGCCTGCCGGTCAGAGTTGACTCATTGGAGTCTCGCACCAAACATACCAAACTGGCAGCACGAGCTCCAGTCGGAATGTTGCACTCGCCACTGACACTAGATTGGCAGCTAGACGTCCTCTCATCTAAACCCTATATGCCTGCCGTGATCTCCGGGCATAGGCCGAATGGAGGTCCTGGACATGCGAGCGCCACAAAATTGATCAACGTTCATCTGACGCTCTAGCGAAGAGCACCAAGCAGATTCAGCCAAGCAAAAGAGCACAGTCTACTTTAAGTACTCAAAAACCCGATGCGACGACAGTGACACGTACGTAGAGTCACACGCGTCTTTGCACCTGAGTACTACTATGTACCTGAGCATATACCTGCAGACAGACAGACAGACAGACAGATCGATCGATAGATGGATGGATCGATGGCTGGCTGGCTAGCTGGCTGGCCGGCTGGCTGGGTTAGCTGCTGAGCGGGTGGGATGGATACAGAGATACTATAGACAATGCAGATAGACAGACAGTCCAAGACATAGATATGTTCACACAGGTGCATACATGCATACATTACATTACATTACATTACATTACGTTACGTTACATTACAATACAATACAATACAATGCAATGCAATGCAAT